CCATACGGAATGGGGCAGCCCACGTTCGGCCAGTGCTTGGCAAATGCCGGAAGAACGTCAGAATAACGTGGTGCCCCCCCAAAACGACCCAGGGCTGCTGAGTCAGGGGAGTGCTCACATTCCCCAGCAGGCAGCGCCCAGAGCCCCCAGCCAGGAGCTCAAGAGTGAAAGCATCCCGACTTCGAGAGGAACCAAGGCACAGAGGAGGCTGAACTCCCTGAAGCCCCTAGAAGGGCTCCCTACGTGGGAACAAGGCTGGGCCCCATGTGCCAGATGTTTGCAGGGCGCCCTTTCCGGGCCCAGCACCTGGCACGCCAGCGGGGACAGGCAGACCCGCAGAACCGCATCCTGGGCCAAGTGGAGGGGGCCTGGTACGGGAAGCAGGAGGTAGGAAGGGGGAGGCTGGGCACCAAGCTGCCTCTCGATAGGGGGAACGGGGAGGCAGGGTGCTCTGGGCCAGTGGCTGGGTCAGATCTCCGGCCAAAGCAAACCTGCCTCAGGGGGTGGAGGGCCTCTCCCTCCCTGTCCGGATGGAATCAAAGGCAAACAGGAACCCCGGAGGGCCCAGCTGTGACCCCTGACCTCCAAACTCAGCGAGGTCCATTAACCCCCGGCACCCCGTCACCCCGAACATATTTTTCCAGCCCAAAGAATCTCTGGAAACAGACTAATCTGGTATTTGCCGATCAGATGCCAGCCAAGCGATGTCAGGTTTCCACCGCCTCACCCGCAGGCCGGCCCTGTCCCCTTCCTACCTCGTACAGCAGCTCTTGGTTAGAAACAAGGTAATCCTGGTCCCAGCCCCGAGCCCCTCCCTACCTCTGTGCCAAGAGTCAAAGCAGTCACACTCCTTTTTGTGGGTCACACTGGTCAACAAAATGGGGGCACCTGCCCCCTCAGCTCCCGCTCTGAACCCCGGTCTCCAGATGGTGAGTTAGCACACAGACACAGCTACGTGTGATTTCTCCCGTTCACCTGAGCTGAGCCATGAGCTGGGGAGAAGGTAACCTGGAGTCTGGGGGCTCAGATTTTCCAGCTCTGCCCCTTGTCCTTCAGAGCAAGGAGCAAGCCCAGAGTAGGGGCACGTCTGATCCCAGGTCAGTCCTCGGCTTGGGCCCAGCAGGACTGGCTTCAAGGAGTGCAGGCAGGATGGTTGGAAGACAGGGTACAGGGACCACCGTGCTCGGGCGGGAAGGTTGGCATGGGCAAGCCGAGCTCTCCAGACCCAGACAGCAGGGCAGAGAGATGGAGGAAAAGTCTAGGTGTTCTTTCCTCCATTCTCTGCATTCTTTATCATATGGTGTTAACAATAAAAAGGATAATAAAAAATCATCTGGGGGGAAAGATTAAAGACAACAGAAGTGAGGAGAGACCAAGAAAGAGGGTCTTAGAATCTATTTCAAGTAGATTGGAAAGAAAGACCAGAAAGAAGACAGAGGAGCTGGCATCAAGGGAGAGACAGAGAGAGAATCCAACACTGGCCTTGTGGTCCAGTGGGGAAACTGAGGCAGCAGCAGGCGGCAGCCAGGCACTCTGTGGCTCTGAGCCCAACCTTTCTACCACAAGGTCGCCGCCCCTTGCGGGAAGTGGGAAAAGAGGCCTGGAGAGGAAGCAGAGTGAAAGGGACCTTATTGGACACTTGTCAGGGCCACTCCAGGCCTTTCCAGGTTTCTCATCCATGCTGTCCCCCCAGGCCTGCCTCCCCTTGGAAAGAGAAAAATCCTTCTGTCCCCAGTGAGGCCCTGGAAGCCTGGTGGGGAAGAACAAGAGCCCAGGCCCTGAAGAAGGATGGGGGGGTCTTTCAGGGGATGGAAGAGGGAGAGAAAGGGAGACCCCTGAGAGGGCCAGCCTTAGGAGGACTGCGGAGCTGGGCCCCACGTGGGGACTGGGGCAGAGAAGTGGGGTGAGGGGTGGAGGAGGACGGTGAGGGGGGAACGGAGTTTCCCAAGCGTCCCTTCATCCCCCCTCCCTCCTCCACTCTCTTTCATGATCTTGAAACAACCTTCAAGTCTGGGCCGGAGGCCCCAGGAGGCTAGTCACTTAGGAAACAGAACTGTTTCTGGGAGACCTTGAGGGCCCATCTGCAGCTGAGCGGCCTCCCCGCCCCCTCATGCACACGCACTTTCTCCCAGGGACACTCACGTACGCCACGCGGGCTCTGCCCCAGCACTCCGGCTCACACGACCCGACACGCCAGGACCCGCGCACTCCACGTGCGAACCAGTGCGGCCTCTGTGGTCTCGCTGGGCTCGTGCTTCCGATTTTCCGCGTGGTGCCTCACACCTCCCCTTCCCCACACTCGGGTCCCCACACGGTCGTGCCCCTCGGTCATAACACGCACACTCAGGCACAGTCACACATGCACGCTCATACACACCCCTGCTCCCCACGTCTCCCGGCGCCAACCGACCACCTGACTCAGGACCACCCATCGTCTCCCAGACCCACTCTCCAGCCAGGCCCCGGCCCTCTGCCTCCTGCTTTCAAGTCGTCCCTACTCTCCACTCTGTCCCTCTGACTTCTGGGGCCTTGATCCCAACTGACCGCTGGCTGTCTACACAGGCAGCAGCCCAGCCAAGGCGCCCCAGATCAAGGGGCCAGATGTCCACTCCCTACCCATGTCCTGGAGGCTGAGGTCCACGCTGGAGGAGAAGGGGTGGACTCCCAGGGCCTCCCTGTCGCCCAGGCAGAGAGGGTGGTCAGGGAGGTTTGGGTGAGGAATGGGACCCGGGGGTCCTCTCCAGGCTTTCTTTTGTCTGAGCCCCAAATGCGTGAGCCACATCGCCCTGGGGCCACACGCTAGCCCCAGTGCGTGGTATGGCCTGAGCCCCCACCAGGCTGGACGGGCAAAGGGAGGACACAGTCCTTTCCGGGATGGGCCTGGCCACAGGGACCAGAGCCAGGGCCTTGGAAGGACTGGGCAGCCCTGGGCGGTGCCAGCAGGGGTGAGGGTGGGGGAGCAAGCTCAGGGCCGGGTGCCTGAGGTCCACGCGCCTGCGGGCTCTGGGCCGGCCCATCTCATCTTGCACCCTAGAGAGTACGGGGCAGAGACAAGGGATTCCAAGCCCAGAACCAAGGAACAGGAGCCTCCTATGTCCCGAGGGACCCTCTCGCCACCCTCCCAACCCCCCCACCCCAGCCGCCCCAGTCCAGGGCAAGGCTGCCCCGCTGCTGAGCGACCCGGCCACCCACAGCTACTTCTCCAGGGTCTTCTTCCCTGGGCCTTCCCTCCTAATGTCTAAACACAAGCCTTCGAGCTGTGTCTTCACCAGCTTCTCTCTCTCTCCTGTCCACACCAGGGCTTGGACCAGGATCTGCTTTTCCCTTCTTACTCCCCCCATGGCCTGTTCTCCCCCAGGCTCAAATTCAAGGACAGAAGGTGTCTGCCCCATCCTGCCCAATCCTGCCCATCCCTCCAGCTGTAACCCAAGAGGAGAAGGGGGGCGGAAGAGGGCTGTGACCTTCCGGATCCCCCGTAGTGGAAAATCCCAAGTGCAGGCCCGGAGGGGCAGTTATGTGGGGAATTCAGGCCTGAGCCCTGAGCCCTAACAGTGGATTTGCTGGAGAGGTGGATAAGCCCTCTGTAGGGAGTTCCCTCTGGGGCCTGAGAGGACTGGCTTGCTGGGCCCTCCTTCCCTCCTAGCTTTTTGGGTCCAGGGTTCTCAGACCTGCCCCCACTGCACTGGCTTTCCTCCATTCCATCTCTGTGCCCAGAGAAATGGGGACACTCCAGGAGAATTCTGTCCTCCTTCTGCTCCCAGATGGCGGGGAAGGGCGTTTTTCTCCTCTCTCTGCCCCTGCTGGTCTCCCCTTCCCCTCTTTGTCCCTCATGCTTTGCCTTTTTTATTAACTGGTCCTGTTCCAGCTCATCTCTACCCTGTTTCCAACTGGTATAAGGTTACAGACGCCCCTCCCAGCCCCAAGGCCCCCTCCTCACTCCCAGAACCTTCTTCGGGCTTCTCCCCTGCTTCACTGCAGAGAGGCCTCTCCTCGGTCTAACCTCAGACCTGCATCTCTTCGGTCTAACACGGGGTTGCCAGTTAGCCTGGCACTCACCACGGGAGGAAGGAGGCAACCACCTCCTCTCTGGTTCCCAGGCCTGGCCCTTATTACGACGTTGACTTCCATATACCTCTGAGAAACTGCGTTTTCTTCCCCCCGCACCTGCCAACCCCAGGCATAGATTCAGCCTCGGGCTCCTCGACAGAGAGTAAGGGCGAGGCGCGACCACTCGGTGGCAAGGGGTGAACACTACCAGAGCTACTAGCGTGGGTGTCTGCTGGCCTGGCTCTGGGGCTGTCCCCCGGCTTGCCCGTCCCTCCCCAGCTGCCTCCCTGCCCCACCCGCCCGCCCCGGAGTCCTGTTCTCCGGACATGCTTCACCTGGAGGCTTGTGGACTCCCTTCCCCCTCCACCTCCAGACCTCGTGCTGTCTCTCGAGCCACCCTTAGCTCTCACCAGGGCCCCTCTGGGTGCCTCCTATGCAAGGGTGGCCCTGGGTTCCCAGGCTGACTGCTTCTTCCGGTTTCTGTGTCCCCACTTCTCTGCTTCTTTCTCTGGGAGGTTGGGAGTCAGGAGCCCTGAATTCTGGTTCTGTTTTATCTGCTCAAGTTGTTTGTCTCTCGGGGTCTCAGTTTCCCCATCAGGAAACCAGAGAAAGGCCGGGACCACACAGCCTCTGGCATCCCGGGATGCTGTGGGGACTGTCCCCCGTCAGCCCATCCCCAAGGAGCACAGTTCCAGCCCCAGCCTTGCCGCTCGCCTCTCTGAGTCGTGGCTGCCATGGGCCAGGGGTGAATGAGAGGAGACGAGGGGAGCACACAGCAGGACAAATGGACTGTCCATGGTCCACCCGCCTGTTGCTTAAGGGGCGGGAGGGGAGGAGTCCTCAGGGATCCTGTTTCAACAAACGTTTCTTTCCCGAGGAGGGGAAGGCGGGGGAGAGGGGGAGCAGGACCTATTTAAAGCTACCCTGTTGCTCGCTGCCGGCTCTGTTTGCCAGGGTCTCTGGCCATCCCAGACCAGAGGTGTGGGCTGGGGATCCTCCCAGTGACCTGCCCAGTCCAGGTTCCCTCAGCCACTCTGCCCCAAGATGGGCCGTGGGGTGAGTATCTCCAAAAAGAGGGGCTGCTCTGTAGGGAGGAGGAGGGCTCTCTGGAGGGTGAGGGAGGCTGGGGGAGAGCAGGATGGGGCGGGGAGGGGACTGAAGGGAGGAGCAGAGAGACGCCAGGCTCTGGGGCAGCATGAACTTGGACTGAGTCTCCCGGCTACAGATGCGTGCTCGGCCCAGGGGTCCACAGCGCACAGGTGCCCACGTGCGCTCTGCTTCCCCACTCCCCGAGATGAGCCCCACCGCCCTCCACCCTACCCCGCCCCTCCATCCCTGTGTCTCCCCCATCCCAGACAGACCCTCCCTCACCGCACCTCCAACCATGCCAGCCGAGGGGAGCCTGGCCCTGTTCATGCTCCTGCCTTTGCCACTCCCCAAAAAGAGCCATTCCTCTGGCAATCCCAGCCTGAGAAGATGGGGGTCCAGTTTGAGGTTGGAGCGGCCAGGAGCATGGCTCCCAAGTCACCAAGCGGTTCTGACACCAGCTCTCAGGGCCCCGAGAGCCAGCAGCCAGGAGGGTCGTAGGGCAGAAGAGCGATGTGCCCCTCAGCCCCAGCCCAGTGCCCCTCCTGATGCCTTGGAGGGCCCTCCCCAGCCCTGGGCTGTGAGCGTTTCACAGCGGCTGGTAAGAGCCGCCTGCACCCTCTCAGCCCACCCCTGCCCGTGGCATTCTGCAGCCCTGGGAATGCCAAGGGGAAGATTAACAACTGTGGAGTGGGTGTGGGGGAAGGGCAGGGACAGGGCTCTGGATTCTTGGAAATGAATTTTCCATATGGAGAAAAGTCACCCAGTCCCTTACACCCTGCTCCGGGCTGCTTTCCTTTTGTGGAGTGCCTGTGGAGGGAAGGAGTCTGGGGAGGACACGGGAGGGCCTGGGGAAAGGGGGTGCCTGTCGGGAGCTGTGGGGGAGTTTCTGGGCCCAGGAAGGGGTCAGGCAGGGACGTGTTATTGCACTGAGTTTAGCAGCTGGGAAAACTCCGAGCTTGGACACCAGGGTTCCTGCGCTGGGGTAGGAGCTATAAATAGAACCGGGTGTGTGAGTGTGTGCGTGTGTGTGTGTGTGTGTGTGTGTGTGTACATGTGCCTGCAACACACGTGTTCTCCATAGGCCGGAGCTGATGCAGATACTCCAGGCTGAGCACGTGTGTGGGACTCGGCAGGCCAATCCGCGAGCCCGCAAGCCCTCAAGAAGGGGCGAGCCCCGATGTCCCTGCATGATGTCCCTGAGGAGGAGTGAGGGTCTGTGCGTGGGCTTCACGAAGGAAGAAGTCACCCCCATGGGAAGATAGGGCCTCTTAGGACCCTCAGCTAAACCCAGCATCTCTGGTTCTGCCGTGCGCGGGACTCGGGACTCGGAGGAGGGCCAGGCCGCCCTCTTCCCCCAACCGGGAGTGCAGAGAACAGGGGAGGTGCAGCTCATGCAGCTCACGAGGTCCTGCTCGGGAAGCAATTTGGCCTTTACTTTGTCCTGGGACCCCAGCTGCCTGGGTCTCTGCTTCCCCCGGTCCTTCCTTCCCACTGGCAACCCCGAAGCCCCCAGACCCCCACCCCAGGGGCTGTGTGCAAGCAATGGCAGGTTGGGAAGTGGATCTGGTTCTGCCTGGATGGAGAGGCTGCGGGAAATGTGGGGGGAGGGGTTGTCTTAGGGCTGGAGCTTGGAGTTCAAACTGCCGGGAGAGCTCTGGAAAATGAAGGCAGCTGGTCCGCACCCCTGCTCTGTCCCTTTCCCCTGCATCTGCACTACAAAGCGAGGTCCAACTGTCACCCTGCACCCTGTGGCCAAGAAGGGCAGTGTGGGAGCTGGGGGAAGGGATGGCCCTGGTGGGAGGGAGCCCAGCCCGCTCCAGCTGCCACCACGAGGCTGCGGTGGGGAGAGCGTGGCTCACTTCCAGCTGCCCCCACTCTGTCCCAGCCTCTGGCTCTCTCAGAAAGAACTCTCTGTTCTCCTTCAGCATTCAAGACCCGGAGAGGGGGACTCGTGGTTGGGGGGCCATGGAGGGGGGGTCCTTGCTTCCTCTCTTTCTTTCTTGCCCGGGCAGCCCGCTGGCCCCAGATCTCCGCAGGCTCCTGGCTGCAGAGCCTGAGATCCTTGCCAGGACAGGAGGGGGAAGGGGCAGCGTGTCCCAAGCTCTGTGCCGGCCTTGGGGAGAACAGGGTGGGCGCGCAGGGGAAGGGATGCCATAGGGAGCAGCAAGGTTGGCCGCGGTGCCTCCTTCCCCAAGCGCATGGGCTGGCGATTTGGTTCTAATTTTCACAATCTTTATTGCACGTCGGAATGTACAGAAATTCTCTGGACTCGGCCCCAGCCCCAGCCCCAGCCGCCCCCCTCCCCACCCCCCACCCTCTGTTTGCCCAGGCCCCATTCCTGCCCCTGAAGCTCTGGAGGGTCACCTTGAAGCCGGTCCCTTTGCGGCTTTTCATCCCCTCTGCGTTTCTGTTCCACCAAGGAGAGACTCGGTGAACCCAAAGCATTTCAATCTAACTGATTAAAGGGGCCTTCTCAGGGCTCCTGGAGAGGGAGACGGAGAACCCCAGGAGCCTTTCCCCTCTCCTTCTGTTGGGCTGCTTCCGTCTCCCCAAGATGGCCAGCCTTCAGGAAGCCACAGGTACCCGCGATCCGTGGGTGCTCTCTATGGAAACAAATGCAAGGTTGCGGGTCTAGGGAACAACGGGGTCCATGTCTCACCGAGCCCCGCACCCTGTTCCTGATCTCACCGGTCAGACCTCTCCAGGTGCTGGACTCATGACCTCGTAGGGTGAGGACAGCTGCCACATTCTGGGATCGCACTTGACTCTTTGATGGGAAAAAATGCGTCATCCCAGAGCACAGGAGTTTATGCAGTGACTCCACTCTGGATGGAGTCGTGGTAGATACAAGTCAGTTTGCATTTGTCCAAACCCTCAGAGTGGATGCCGCCACGAGGGAGCCCTCATGGCCACTGTGGACTCAGGGTGACCCTGATGTGTTAGCACAGGTTCATGACTGCCACAAAAGCACCACTGGGGGGGGGGGGGGGTGGTTGTTGACGGTGGGAGTGACATGTGGGGGTGGGGGATATGAGAACTCGCCGTACTTTCTGCTCAGTTTTGCGGAGAGCCTCAAACTGTCTTGAAAAGAAAAGTCTACTTTTATAAAAAATGCACACTATCCTGTAAAGAAGGACAAATAAGTTGGCTGTAGATCCCATCCAGGTGTCCAGGCTTTTTTTTTTTTTTTTTTTTTTTAAGATTTATTTGTTGGTTTTTGCTGGGGGAGCGGCAGCGGGAGATAGTCTTAGGTAGACTCTGTGCCGAGCGCCAAGTCCCACATAGGGCTTGATCTCAAGACCCTGAGATCACGACCTGAGCCGACACCCAGAGTCAGACGCTTAACGGGCTGCGCCCCCCCCCAGGCGCCTCCCGGTGTCCTCACGAAGAGGACTTGGTGTCCTCACGAAGAAATGGGATACACCACAGTGTGGAGAGGCTCCTGAAAGCTGCACGTGGCCTTGGGGACAAGAGACCGGCCCGTTGCTGACAATGATGCGGCGCCCTGAGGGGGCGGGGGGTGGACAGGGAGTGAGAAGGCGTTGCCATGACCCCCCCCAGGCCCTGCCCGACCCCTCCCCCACCACTACCCCACCAGCCCCACCCCTCACCCCTGGAAGGAGAAACTTCCCACCCCGTTCCCCAGAGGTTCCCTGCGGCCCCCGGCAGCCTGGCGGAGGTGAGGGGACCACAGGCAGAGAAGAGGAAAGGGAACCCAGGGCCTCACACGGCTCCAGGGAAAATGCTCACCTGATCTCACGAGAGGCCCCAGGCATGCCAGGACCTGAGAATACACGCATTTTAGTACATATTCCTCTATTTTGGACAAATGGGGCCCAGTTCCCTTCTTACCTAGTTGTGCCTTGGGGCCTCAAGTTGTACAAATACCCCCTTGCCCAAGAGCGGGCCAGCTGGCCAACGAGAAGGGTGTCTTCCCCGGCCTGACCCCTGACTCCCCAGAGACTCTGCCTCCCCCAGATTCGCAGCTGTCTCCACTGCTCTCTAAGTGGCCGAGGTGTTGGGATTCCCCCAACACTGGCCACCGCCTTCCAGAATTCTAAATAGTGTAGGCTGACGGTCCTTAAAGTTTTCGTTCTGTTTAGAACTTAGCTGCAGGGTTTTCTCAACACACAAAATCTTAGCAGAAGCCCAAAGGTAAACAGCCAAGAATGGGGTCCTGTGTCCTGAGGCCCTTGGCCTTCCCTGGAATTCCAGCTCAGAGCCCATGGCCTTGCGACCAGTTTGCAAACTGAGGGCCTGGGCTCCCCCCACCCTTTCCTCCCCTGGGCCCATCACGGGCCTTGCATCCACCACCCCAGCCCAGTGCCTGCCCTCCTGGCCTGTCCAGGGCGAACATAGCCTCCCTGACTCTCCGGGCTCTCCCTCCCCACCCCTGCAGGCCGGCCGCGAGTACTCGCCAGCAGCCACCACCGCGGAGAATGGGGGCGGCAAGAAGAAGCAAAAAGAGAAGGAGCTTGACGAGTTGAAGAAGGAGGTGGCCATGGTGAGCACCCCAGCCCGACCCGCAGGTTGTGGAAAACAGGGTCTCCGCAGCCCAGCGCCCTCGGAGAAGCCATGCCGCCCCTCCCACCTGCGCCCTTTGCCTCAGCCCCGGGCCCCTCTGTCCTCACACGCATCCCAGACGCAGCGCCCAGCCTCCTGCCCCGGAGTGACCCGACTTCCCTTCTCAGGACGACCACAAGCTGTCCTTGGATGAGCTGGGCCGCAAATACCAAGTGGACCTATCCAAGGTGAGTCGGGGGGCCACAGGGGTGCCCGAGACCTGAGAGAGCCACACAGCGCCTGGATGGATAATCACACCCCCTGCGCCGGCGAGGAAACAGGCCCACAGACGTGTGACTAGCTGGGGCAGAGCCAGGCCTAGAACCCAGATCCCCGGCTTCTTAGTTAACAACCTTCTCCTGAGTACCTGGAAGCCGGGCCCCGTACCCAGCTGCACAAGCAGCACTGGTGACACACGTCCCAGGGAAGCGACACCTACGAAACAGTGAGGTAACCCCCCAGTGTCACAGTAGCCCTACTGTGCGCCCCACTGTGCGTGCTGTGTGTGATGGGTGCTTTATGAACACTTCCCTGACCCTCACGACACCTGTGACATGGGGGTCATGCACCCGTCCATTATAGCAGGGAGACTCGGGGAGGGGGACTAGCTTCCCACCATCACAGAAATAAGTAGGAAGTGTCACAGTCAGGTGACCACGCCCATCAAATAAATAAATACAGCGTCAGGCAAAACCACGGTGGGTGCACACCTCCTCCTGCAGGCCCTCCCTGACTCCTCTTTTGAAAATTCTCTGCTCCCCGGTCCTTGACCGTACCCTGTTTTCCTTAATGATCTGGCAGTGACAGCTACTTATCATGCGTCACGTCACTGGGTCATAAGCTCCATGAGGCAGAGACTTCATGGATTTGTCCTCCTCCCGGTCCCCAGAGCTGACAACGGCCCAGAATGTAACGGGCATTCGATGCACGTTTCTTAAATAAGTGAGTGGATGGAGAGAAAGGTAATGAAGTGACCTCTGCCCTCGAGGAGCTCACAGTCTAGAAGAGAACGTGGACCAGCATTCCCATGCGCACGCGGAGTGTAGCTCCACAGCCAGGCTGGGCCCCGCGGGGAACATCTGCACCGCGCCCCGGCCGGCTCCCCGGGGAAGAAGGGGGACTCACCGGAGCTCTGAGAACTGGAGGTTCCCCGTGTGGGTCTCTTCTCGAATTCTTGCTGGAAAGGGGCCCGTCTTCCGAGGAGCCTTGCCCAGGTGCCACTGGAGGAGACACTGAGGCCCTAACCCACAAGTGTCTCCACCCCAGGACGATGGCCGCAGGTGGGGCCACAAGGCCTCCCACACCTGTTGCAAATGCCACCTCCTCGGTGTGGCCTCTCCCGATGGCCCCCCCACCCTCTCCTGCCAGGTGGCATTTCTGTCTCCGAACGGACGCTGTTCCCAGGCCAGGGAGCCGGTGGGAAGCCGGGAGGAGCGCACGGCTCCGGACACGCGCTCACACTCCTCTCCCCGCCTCTCTCAGGGCCTCACCAACCAGCGGGCCCAGGACATTCTGGCCCGGGACGGACCCAACGCCCTCACCCCGCCCCCGACAACCCCCGAGTGGGTCAAGTTCTGCCGCCAGCTCTTCGGGGGTTTCTCCATCTTGCTGTGGATCGGGGCCATCCTCTGCTTCCTGGCCTACGGCATCCAGGCCGCCATGGAGGACGAGCCATCCAACGACAACGTGAGCGGGCGTGCCTCCCCCCTGCACCTGCCCGGGACCCGCCCTCCGGCCCAGATCGCAGGACAGCTGGGGGCAGGGGGCCAGAGCCGCACCTCACAGTCCCACGGGCCTCGCTGCTTTTCAGGCTGTGAAGGGATGAGGCTTCTCCGCGTGTCGCTAAGCACCTCCCAACACACACGCGCGCACACACACGTGCGCACACACGCACATGCAGGCAATCCGGAGTGAGATGGACCCTCCCTGTTCCCGCACCCCTAACTGAGCTGGTCTGGATCTGTGGGGCTTCCCCCCACCCCGAGAAGCCCGAGTCCTGGGAATTCCCTGCGATTTCTCCTGCCCCTTCCCTTTCCCAGGAGACTGAAGGGGAGGTTGGGGGGGAAGGGCTCTCCTCTGCCATTGTCGCTCCCAGTTGCAGACAAAGTCACCAAACACCCATCTGAGGGGCAGCTGCCCCTCCAGGGCGGGGAGAAGGGCCACGGCCTCACCCTTTCCTCTTTGCCAGCTCTATCTGGGCGTGGTGCTGGCAGCCGTGGTCATTGTCACCGGCTGCTTCTCCTACTATCAGGAAGCCAAGAGCTCCAAGATCATGGATTCCTTCAAGAACATGGTGCCACAGGTACACAGCAGGCAGGGCTCCGGGCTGGGGCACAAGGTTTCTGGGGGAGTCCAGTTCCCCCTCCTGAGTTCCTTGTGCTCTGAGATGGAGGCGTGGGCAGAAGCCAGCCTCCCGTTCTCCACACACGGTCCAGTTGTACAGCCTAGGGGGCACAGGCGTCCTCCTGGAGGGTTGGGAGAGGTGGGAGGCCAGCAGTGGAGGATGGTGGCAGAGGGACGAGCCATTCCTGAGGTGCCCGTCCCCCTCCCACCCCCCAGCAAGCCCTGGTGGTGCGGGAAGGAGAGAAGATGCAGATCAACGCAGAGGAGGTCGTGGTGGGAGACCTGGTGGAGGTGAAGGGCGGGGACCGCGTACCCGCGGACCTCCGGATCATCTCTTCTCACGGCTGCAAGGTGAGGCGGCCGTCCCGGGGCAGCTGGCCCGCTCCACAGAGCTGAGAGAGGTCCAGTTAGAGCCTGCAAGCCTGGGAAGCCCAGGTCCAGTGTCAGCGCCTGCCCCCCACGCGGCCCAGCCCAACTTCGTCTCCCACAGACTGTTTGCGGATTATGTCCTCGTGTCTGTGTGCTGGACATGCCCTGTGCCCCGGGTACATCTTTGACGTCCACTTTCCGGTGATCGTGTAGTGGTTATTACTGTGTCAGATGCTCTGTATGCCTCCCAGAGCTGTCTCGTGTCACTCTGCAGGAACAGTGACATCGTGCTGTGCTGTTCTAGGTGGCCACAGACAGCGCCGTGCACCCCCCCCCAGACAGCCCTACTTTCTCAGACTCTGGAGTTAGAGACCTCGCCCCACCCCCGCACCGGGGTTGTATAATGCAGACATGCCCCTGACCTTCCCCACTTTATAGATGAGTGAATGGTGATTTCGTTGGTTAGGTCACCAGCCCAAGGTCACGTAAGAGGTCAGGGACAGCCAGGACACCAAACCAGAGCAGGGACAATGGCTGAGTAATGTTATAAATACATGATGAGCATGAGTGTAATTCTGTCCCTCGTGTCATGGAGGCGGAGTGTGGTCAGAGCCAGAGTGTGGTCGGAGCCGGGGGACAACTGTGTGGGCACCCACGTGCCTTCCCGTCTGATGACCACACACCTGCTTCCTCCCCAGGTGGATAACTCATCCCTAACAGGCGAGTCCGAGCCCCAGACCCGCTCCCCCGAGTTCACCCATGAGAACCCCTTGGAGACCCGCAACATCTGCTTCTTCTCCACCAACTGTGTGGAAGGTGAGCGGCCGGCCACCAGGGAGCCCCCTCCCTGCCCCAGGGGAAGGAAGAGTCGAACTCCCGAATCCCCAGGCAGCACGGGGGACTGTGGCTGTGCTTACGTGTCTGATGTCTTGCCCAAGGCCAGGGGAGGGAAACGAGGGACCGGGGGGCCTGAATATTATTGGCTGGGGTGGCCCGACTCCGTGGAAGGTGCCTCCCCCCGGGAAGATCTGTGTTCTGTCTATGCCAAGACTGAGCAGATCCCAAAGCCTTCAGATGCTGGGCTAAGACCTCCACGCATGCACACGTACACACACACGCACACGCACACACACTACGCACATGCAGTACAAACACACGATACACAAAACTCACAACACATAGGCACACAGACACAAACACACACAATACACAACACACACACACGCCTCTTGACTCCCAGAAGTCTTTGGTTTGACTGATTCCTTCCATTTCTCCTGACGCTGGGTCTAGCGGCTTCTCTGGCCTCACTTTGACCAGTGACCAGGCTGGGGAGGCTCAGGCCAGGTGAACACGGGCCAGCAGGAGCTCCCCAGGTTGCCACCACATAAGGACAGGAGACCAGGCCCGCCCGAAATCCATGCCCTCTGTGGCCGGGCCTCCTTGAGAGGGGCCGACAGTGAGAGCTGGCGGGGAGAGAGTTCTGGCTAAACCTCGGGCCTGGGACCACGTGCCCCACCTCCATGCCTTTACCTTCCCTATTCTCATTTCTTCTCGGCATGTTATGTCTCTCTGAGCATTTTTGTAAAGATTTTATGAGCCTTTTTTTAAAGACTTATTTACTTATTTTAGAGAGAGAGCATGTGGGGAGGGGAGAGGCAGGGGGGAGGGAGAGAATCTCAAGCAGACTCTGCGCTGAGCATGGAGCCTGACACGGGGCTCGATCCCATGACCCCAAGATCATGAGAGTCAGACACTCAACCGACTGAGCCCCCAGGGCGCCCCTCACCAGGTGTTCCTTTCCCTTAGCAAGTTGCAGTTACAGTGAAAATCACTACACATTATGTATCTTAAACTGTTAATGTACTGAGATTCTGAAATTCGCCCGACATTTCCCACCATTGGTAAAAAACGCCCTGTGAAATACTCACATCGCTCTCTTTGAGTCTGGCTTTGGGGAAAGGAGAAGAAATGAGCAGATCCGACATTGCTGAGTGCCTACTGTGCGCCAGGGGCGGGCCAGGCATATCACAGCCCTCTCTGGTTTCCTGATGAAAGCAATCCCATGGGGGTGGGGGGAGTCCGAACAAGGGTGCAAACCCCAGTTTGGCCGGCTCTCACATCCACGGTCTTTCCCTCATCCCACACCCCCCCCGCCCAGGCCCCCGGCCCCGAGTGTCTACATAAGGGCTCAGCAACTGCCTGGTTTCTTCTGCGGCGTCTCAGGGCCCAAGGCTGGGAAAGAGCATCTTAAGTCCACGCAGAAAATCCGTGACCTCAGACCCTTCGGGGTCCTCGCAAGCAGGGCACTGATTGCACGGAGCTACTCGGTACTTGTATTTCATGGCTGGCATCTCCCCGGTCTGAATTCCGAGTGTATTTGCAACATCTCTCATCAGGCCCAAGTGTCAAGGGAATGAGTTGTGGTGGCCTGAGTCCGGGCCTGGAGGTCTGTGCCTGGGGGAGGTCCGGCCTCCAACCGCAGGACCCCGGTCGGAGGCCCATTTACTCTGCCGTGGTTTTTCTTTTCCAAGCAGTAGGGGTCCCCTCTGTGTTGCAGGCACGGCCAGGGGCATCGTGATCGCCACGGGAGACCGGACAGTGATGGGCCGCATAGCCACCCTGGCCTCGGGCCTGGAGGTGGGGCGGACGCCCATCGCCATGGAGATCGAGCATTTCATCCAGCTGATCACGGGGGTGGCCGTGTTCCTGGGGGTCTCTTTCTTCGTGCTCTCCCTCATCCTGGGCTACAGCTGGCTGGAGGCTGTCATCTTCCTCATCGGCATCATCGTGGCCAATGTGCCCGAGGGGCTGCTGGCCACTGTCACCGTGAGTGGGTCAGGCGAGGGGCCACCGCGGGAGGTCTTGCTACCCTTTCCTCAAAGGCAGTCGAGGCTTACTGTAGCTCAGCAACTTGCTCCCTGCCCCTAAAATCACCTGTCAGAGTCTTAATTCCCGGCTCAGAGTCTGAGCTGCGCTTTGGCCCACGGTCTCTCTGCCGGAGCTCATCCCGGCCCCCTTCCGCAACACACAGTCCGACGCATGGTCCACTGCCGTCTGCAGCTCGTCCCGGCCACCCTGGCCGCAAAGCCTCCCTCAAAGGTCACTGATGACTAACTGGCAAACCCAGTGACCTTTTCTCTCGAACCCTTCCTTGACTCTGCTGAGAAACGGACACGGCTGTCCACCCTCCTAGAATTCTCTCCTCCATCAGTTACGGTGACATGTCCCTATTCTGGTTCTCCTCTGCTCCTCTGTCCCCCGCAGGATCTCCTCCTCCTCTCCCCAGCCCCGATTCACAGGCCTCATGCTCTGCTCTCCCTGCCCCCTGGGGTGAGCCCATCTCCCCCCAGTCTCGTGCCCGTTCTCGCACACCCCTGGCCCAGCTCTCTGCCGGCCTGCTCTGGAGCTCTGGTCGTGTATCTTCAATTCCCTGTTGGACTTTTCACCTGAATACACACCCACGATCTCGCTCAGCATGTCCGACATCGAGCGCAGTCACTGCCCACACATAGGTCCCACTTGGTGTTTGCTGACCGGGATCAAGGAGGGCGGGGTCGTGCCCTGGTCCAGGGTGAGGTCATGGGCACCTCCGGCTCCAGGCTTAGAACCTCTCACCCTCCTCTCTCTCCCAGGTGTGTCTGACCCTGACAGCCAAGCGCATGGCGCGTAAGAACTGCCTGGTGAAGAACCTGGAGGCCGTGGAGACGCTGGGCTCCACATCCACCATCTGCTCCGACAAGACGGGCACCCTCACCCAGAACCGCATGACCGTCGCCCACATGTGGTTCGACAACCAGATCCACGAAGCGGACACCACGGAAGATCAGTCCGGTGACTGGGGCTCTCCAAGGGGGCCCCGGCATGGTGGTGGGGGGTGGGAGTGGACAGGGGCTCTAACGGGGAGCCGTGCTCCTGCTTCTCCCCCACTGCCTCCCAGGGGCCACTTTCGACAAACGATCCCCCACGTGGACGGCACTGTCTCGGATCGCCGGCCTCTGCAACCGTGCCGTCTTCAAGGCCGGGCAGGAGAACATCTCTGTGTCTAAGGTGGGGTCAGCGGCGCGTCCATGGCTTGCCCGCCTCGCCGGGACCCAGGTCCCCCTCCTGCACACCCTGGCAGCCTCGGGGGCTCCAGTGCTCCCCTCCCCCGGTCTCCCACTGCCCCCCCCGCCTGTGTGACACTGAGTTCTCCTCCGTCAGCGGGACACGGCTGGCGACGCCTCCGAGTCAGCCCTGCTCAAGTGCATCGAGCTGTCCTGTGGCTCCGTGCGGAAGATGAGGGACAGAAACCCCAAGGTGGCGGAGATCCCTTTCAATTCCACCAACAAGTACCAGGTCTGGCAGCCATGCCGGGACAAGGGTGGGGGAAAGGGCCAAAGTGAGGGGGAGCTCAAAACCTAGGAGGGGGGCATCTGAGGGCCATGCCCCTCCCCCTGCCTCATCGCCCAGGAAAACTGGGGTGACTACCGGTCTGGTTGCAAGGACCCCCCCAACTTCCAAACCTCCATCCCTCGATATACCCAGTCGCCTTCCCCACTCCTGCCTCAGCCTCCCATCCCTTCCAGCTGTGGGGGTGAACCACGCCTCTGAAATGTCGTTGGGATGCCCCTGGACGGCAGGCGTCTGCTAGACCAAGAAAGCATTCTCAGCTGTGTCGTGTGAAAGCGCGCTGAGGCCAGCACGACTGTGGGGCACTGGCGAGAGAGCCACCCAGCCCCTGGCACTGTGGTCAATATTTGTGACCCACACTGCCCTTCACACGCACAGGCTCTCCCTCCGTCGACGATAGCTGGCGGACGGGGGCTGTGCGTCAGGGAGGTCTCCTTGGCAGGCCGCCTCTGTGACCGCTTGTCTTCTCTCCAGCTGTCCATCCACGAGCGAGAGGACAGCCCCCAGAGCCACGTGCTGGTGATGAAGGGGGCCCCGGAGCGCATCCTGGACCGCTGCTCCACCATCCTGGTGCAGGGCAAGGAGATCCCTCTGGACAAGGAGATGCAGGACGCCTTTCAGAACGCCTACATGGAGCTGGGCGGGCTGGGGGAGCGCGTGCTGGGTGAGAGGCAGGAGCGGGGCTGCCCCAGGGTGGGGGCATTGGGGGCACTCGGGCAGCCCCCCCACCCTGTGCTGGGCTCACTCCTCCCTCTTTCCCTCCTGCCCGTGTCAGGGTTTTGTCAGCTGAATCTGCCTTCTGGGAAGTTTCCGCGGGGCTTCAAGTTTGATACGGATGAGCTGAACTTCCCCACGGAGAAGCTCTGCTTCGTGGGGCTCATGTCCATGATCGACCCTCCCCGGGCTGCCGTGCCGGACGCCGTGGGCAAGTGCCGCAGCGCGGGCATCAAGGTACAGGCCTGGCCTCCCCCCTCCCACCCTCCCTTCCCCGGTGCTAAAGGTCAAAGGACGGCAGGGGCTCCTGCCTCGCAGATGCCAGACCCCTCGTGGCCACCTCCCTCTGCAAGGAAAGGTCGGCCCCACCTGGAGCTCTTGTCTGGGTCCCTTTCCGTCAGTGACCAGGTGCATCCTCTCCCCCACTCATTCCATTCTGCTCTCGGGCCAACCTGGCACTTGGGTCTTGGAGATCTGTTCGAACCACCTTCCCGGATAGCGTCCGATCTCTACCAATGAGCAATGAGCAGGCTCTTGTCTGAACCCACTCGCCCCCAGCAGGCTCCAGTCCTCATCCCCCAAGCACACCTCTCCTAGGTCCTGGTGTCCACCTGTCATTGCTCCTCGGTGGCCGCTCCTGCCTCAACTCCTGCCTCAGTTGTCCTTCATTCGGCAACTAACCATCGTTTGCCGCCTAAGGCCCAGGCACTGTTCAAGATGCCCGAGTTCAACAAACAGACATAAACCCTGTCCATCTTGGAGCCTCCTTTCCTGCTTCAAGGCACGCTCCACCCCATCCCCATGGCTGTGGCCGTGGCCATCCCGTGGCCAGGCACAGGGACGTGGCCAGCTCCTCGTCTCCTAGCATCAGCTCGAGCTGCCTGTCCGCTAAGGGCCAGGGGCTGCTAAGACGAAGGAGACGTGGTGCCTGTCCTCCGGTGCTCGCGGGCACTCAGGGAAACAAACGTCTCCACACTTAATCACAGAACAACCTGCTAGCTAGGGTCGTGAGCCCCTGCTCCGGGCCAGAGGCTCTCATCCCATGAGCACCCGGGTCGCAGGAGTGCAGGTAATCTGCACAACATTTTTTGGGTTTGGGGTTTTTTTTTTTTTGGATTTGCATTAATTTTAATCCCAAACTTGATAAATACTTCATTAACAATGAGGATCACTGTTTCTAAGTATTTTTAGTTAATAAAATGGCTAATTGTTTTACTAATAATTATCATACATTATCACAGACCTTTAAATAAAATTAGCTTTTGTAATAAGTTTATTAAAATCTACTGAATCAAGAAATACCCAAAATACATTTTTCACTCAGTACCATAATATTATGTTATATGTGCTGCTTATTTAAAATATGTGGTTTTGGGGGTTTGGGTTTTTTTTTTTTAAAGATTTTATTTATTTGAGAGAGAGAGAGAGAGTGCAACTGGGGGAACAGCAGAGGGAGAGGGAGCAGACTCCCCGCTGAGCAGGGAGCCCAATGAGGGACTTGATCCCAGAACCACAGGATCATGACCTGAGGCAAAGGCGGACACTTAACGGATTGAGCCACCCAGGTGCCCCAAAATATGTGGGTTTTGTTTCAGATAAGATTGTCCTTGTCGATTTCCCTGACTCATGCCCAATTTATATTTCAAAAATCACTCAGAGAGGTTTATAAAAGCAATTTCCAGATAATGTTGTATATTTAATTTTGAAACTTTTTACAAACAAAAATGAATACTTTAAAATTAAATATGGAGCACCTGGGTGGTTCAGTAGGTTAAGTGTCTGCCTTCAGCTCAGGTCATGATCGCAGGGTCCTGGGATGAGCCCTGCGTCCGGCTCCCTGCGCAGTGGGCCCCGCTCCACGGGCCGCCCGCTTCTCCCTCTCCCTCTGCTGTTACCCTGCCTGCAATCTGTCTCTGTCAAATAAATAAATAAATTCTTAGAAAGAAAGAAAGAGAAAGCGAGGAAGCTCCGGTATTTTCCCTTTTCACAGAAGAGGGTAACTGAGGCACAACGTGACAGGCTCGTACGTGGTCGAGCCGGGATTTGAACGAAGGCAGCCTGCCATTTCCTCACACACCGAAGCACTTGTGTGTAGACGTGTGTGAGTAAGGGATTTCTCCGTCCCAGCCACTCTGTCGCTGAGGTAGGCGTCATCGCCCCCACTTAAAAATAAAACCAGCTGAGCCTCAGAGTGGGTAAGTCGCTTTCCCAAAATAAACCTGCCCGTAAGGGGCGGATCAGGCATGTGAAGCATGGTCAGCCGTCCGGAAAGCTGTGCTCCAACCCATCCGGCTGCCTCTTGCTGCGATCAAAACTATCCCGGGGTGTGGGGACCGTTCCTCCAGGGAACTCAGAGCAGGAGCAGCTAAGTCTGCCTCAGAGAACTGGACAAGTTTTACAGAGCACGTGATATTCGATCGGGGCCTCGAAGGCCGGGAGTGTTCTGTAAGGCAGGGAGAGGAGGGCAGTCAAGGTCAGGGACAGTGCGTGTCCTGATGGGGTGAGACAGCAGGGGAGGGGGTGCAGGTGCGTGGGGGGCAGGAGGCTCAGGAGCACTGGGGATGGACTCTAGGACTTCCGGCCAAGGCCAGCTGGAAGGGCTTTGCCTAAACGCCTGACCTGGGGACAGAGCCAGCTTTCAGGAGGCTACCTGGGTGGAGGAGGGCCTGAATCAGGAGAAGGGCTGGAGGCGAGGAGGCAGGGGGAGGGTCTGTGGCGCTAGTCCAGGCGATGACACAAACCAGGGCGGTGACAAAGGATGGAGGCGAGGAGTCACATCTAAGAAACACTTTGGGAACACAGTGACCGAGCTGGACATGGTCAGCGAGGGAGTTGCAGGGACAAAGGGTTGGAACGCCCGAGAGGACAGAGCCGAGCTGGAGGCAGGGGGCAGGCCTGGCAGCCTGGTGGGAGCGGACGATGAGCTCAGCTCTGACCTTCTGTTGGAAGCCTCGGTTGGACACCCAAGGAGAGACATCCCAGCGAAAGCATCAGCTTAGAGCCCAGGACACAAGTCCAGGACCAGAGAGAGCGAGGCCCCTCAGCACACGCGTGCATCTCAAGACCCACTAGTGAACCCGGATCAGGGAGGGGGGCCCGGATGAAAGTGGGGCCACCAGTCTTGGGGCAAGTAGAGAGAGAGAGGAGCGGGGCAGGAGGGGTGGGGGGAAGTCACAGCTCACGTCTACCGAGTGTCCACCTCCGTGCCATTTACTCCTCACGACAGCCTTGGAAGGTGGGGCTCGTCCCCTCCTGGGACCGAGACTCAGTGAAAAGACTGGTCCCAGGTGCCACAGCCGGGGAGGGCCGGTGTTCAAGCTTAGGCCCGCCGTCCCGCTCCACAGCCGCCCCTTCCAGCGGGCGGCCGCTCAGAAGAGGCAGGAAAGAGCGGGAAGAAGTGGGAAGGGGAACCGGGAGAGTCAGCATCCGCACGGACCAAGCTGGCCGGCTTCAAGGAGGGGCTGGTGGGCAGTGCCAAGTACTGAGGGGTCGAGGATGAGGGCTGCAAAGATGCTTCTGTCTTCAGTGGGGGCCCATGTGGCCTTTGGGGGGCAGGTTCCGTGGGGTGGTGGCGGTGGCCTTGAAGGACTTTCTCCTTGGTAGCTGTGCGAGGCTTCTTCCTCTGATCAACCCACGCTCGTGACAGACAGCCTTTATTTTTCTTTAAGATTTTATTTATTTGTTTGACAGAGAGAGATCACAAGTAGGCAGAGAGGCAGGCAGAGAGGGGGGGGGAAGCAGGCTCCCTGCTGAGCAGAAAGCCTGATGCGGGGCTCAAACCCAGGACCCTGAGATCATGACCTGAGCCGAAGGCAGAGGCTTAACCCACTGAGCCACCCAGGCGCCCCAACAGATACCCTTTAACCACCTCTCAGGTGCCGACAGCCCTCCCCACCAGCCTCCATCTGTGCTGCAAGAACCGCCTTCTTCCCACATGGTGAAGGCATGTCCGAGGCAGCTAAACAGGTGGTGGAAGGCCGGGGCGTGGAGGCGGGGGCCATGTCCCCTTCGTCCCTACTCTGACCAGCTGGATGGCCCCAGCACCAGAGTGGACACTAAGAAAATGTGTCCTACTCCCGGCTCCAGTAACCTTGAGAGGGTCATGGGCCCTTTCTAAGCCTTCGTCCCTCGCTGGTCAGTGAGGGGTCCTTCCAGCTGCGACAGCCTCGCAGCCCATGAAAGCCGGTCTCTGAGGGGCCTCTTCCAAGAGGCCCTCGTCCATTTGTTACTCATCACGGAGGCTTTCTCCACGGAAGCAAAGTGTCCCCAGTCCCCTGCCTACAGCTTGTCACCCACTCAGACACACAAACACTCTCACACACTCACGCACTCTCACACACACACACACACACACACACACACAGTTCCGCCATCTTGGCTGGGATCCATCAGTCCCAGCATCGGGGGGTCTGGCTTTCTCTGACTTTGGGAAAGGAAAGGATGGGGAGGGGGTGTTAATACCACTTTTCTTTTCTCTTTTCTCCTGGCTGCCAGGTGATCATGGTGACTGGGGACCACCCCATCACAGCCAAGGCCATCGCCAAAGGTGTGGGCATCATATCAGAAGGCAACGAGACTGTGGAGGACATCGCGGCCCGGCTCAACATTCCCGTCAGCCAGGTCAACCCCAGGTGCGGCCTCCACGGGGCCCCCTGTCCCCAGTCAACCCGTCCCACAGGATGCCCGAGGGCCCCGGGGGGGAGGGGCCATCAGAGAGCCCCTCTGCGACCCTGCAGGTCTTCCCGTGACACCTCAGCGGCCGGCTCCTCAGTCCTGAGGGTGTCCATGCTGTGCCACCCACTCACTGTTCAACAGAGGTGTCACATTACTGTCCTGAGCCGCATCCTCCCAACTACAAATTTAGGGAACCATCCCCCCATGCGGTGGCTCCGGGGTAAGGCATGGGTAAGAAAAGCAGCGTGTGGCCTAGCACTGACTGTGCTGGGTGAGGCTGTCCTTCCTCAAAGACAGAGATGGGACACACAGGCCACGGGGACAGGGCAAGGAGGGCCACAGCCCTGGGACCGTGCAGCTCGGCGGCGGGGGACAGCGGCGGCAAGGAGTCACCCGCCTCCGCCCCCACCGTCCAGAGAAGCCAAGGCGTGCGTGGTGCACGGCTCGGACCTGAAGGACATGACGTCGGAGCAGCTGGACGAGGTCCTCAAGAACCACACGGAGATCGTGTTCGCGCGCACGTCCCCGCAGCAGAAGCTCATCATCGTGGAGGGTTGCCAGCGGCAGGTGAGCGGGACGGGGGTGCGGGGCCGGGCTGGCGCGGGCCGGGTGGGTTGGCCCGGGCCTGCACGGGCTTCCTCCTCCGATCTGGCTGCGTCCTCGTGCAGGGGGCCATCGTGGCAGTGACCGGGGACGGTGTGAACGACTCTCCCGCGCTGAAGAAGGCGGACATCGGCATCGCCATGGGCATCTCAGGCTCCGACGTGTCCAAGCAGGCCGCCGACATGATCCTGCTGGACGACAACTTTGCCTCCATCGTCACGGGCGTGGAGGAGGGTGAGGGGCCCCGCGGGCCGGGTGGCATCTGGGACAGCTTCCCGGGCCTTTCCCCCAATGCAGAGCCAACTCAGGATCCCGGGCACCTGCCACTGGCTTTGGCTTCCCTCGAACCCGGGGTCTCCCTCTCTGGGGCGCACGGGCAGCCGCGCTCCAGGGCTTGGGCTGGGGACGGAACCTCCCGTCTCCTGACGCCACCAAACCTCCCCCAGGCCGCCTCATCTTCGACAACCTGAAGAAGTCCATCGCCTACACCCTGACCAGTAACATCCCCGAGATCACGCCCTTCCTGCTGTTCATCATCGCCAACATCCCCCTGCCGCTGGGCACCGTCACCATCCTCTGCATCGACCTGGGCACCGACATGGTGAGGCCCGGGCTCGGAGCGGCACGGGGGTTGGAGGCGGGCGGCCGGGGGGATCTGGCCAGGCTGCGACAGTTGAGGGAACAGAAGCCCCAGCGAGTCCGGGGCCAGAACAGGGTCTTAGTAACGTGTGCTGATTGCATCAAAGATTCCTCCCCGCGGACCGTCCTCTGCACCTGTCGGCTCCTTTCCACTGCCCTCCTCCCCCCACATGCCTCGCACACAGGTCCCCGCCATCTCCTTGGCCTACGAGGCCGCGGAGAGTGACATCATGAAGCGACAGCCGAGGAACCCCCAGACGGACAAGCTGGTGAACGAGAGACTCATCAGCATGGCCTACGGACAGATTGGTGAGGCGGGGCCCTGGGGCCGGGGCTGGGGCGCGGCCGAGAGAGCTCTCTGTCCAGCTGACGGAGGGATGAGCCCAGGTGAAATCCCAGGCCAGGGGTCCGCCCCCACCGAGGAGCCAGGATGGCCGTCGCTGGCGAGTGCCGGTCCCACCCGGCCGCCCCCACTGACCGTGCCGGCCTCCCGCCCGCTCCCCTCAGGGATGATCCAAGCCCTGGGCGGCTTTTTCACCTACTTCGTCATCCTGGCGGAGAACGGTTTCCTGCCCTCGCGGCTGCTGGGAATCCGTCTGGACTGGGACGACCGGTCCATGAACGACCTGGAGGACAGCTATGGGCAGGAGTGGGTGCGTGGGGCCTCCGGGGGGTGGGCTCCGTGCCTGTGGGAGTGCCCGGGGGGCCAACTGGGGCTGGGGGCTAAGGCACCCCGTGCCCAGGGGTTTGACAAGCGCCCCCAGCATGCTGCCCCCTTGCCCCTCCCTTCGCCTCTCACACGGCCCCATCTGCCCCCAGACCTATGAGCAGCGGAAGGTGGTGGAGTTCACGTGCCACACGGCCTTCTTTGCCAGCATCGTGGTCGTGCAGTGGGCTGACCTCATCATTTGCAAGACCCGGCGCAACTCAGTCTTCCAACAGGGCATGAAGTGAGCACCCCTGCCCCCCACCCCCAGCAGAGAGCACCCTGAGGTCCCTCAACCCCCATGGGCCCCTCGACCTGCGCCCACAATCAGGGAGGAGGGAGTGTCAGACCACACCTGTCCAGCCGTCTGAAACAGGTGTCTGAAGAGGAAGGGGTCGGATCACCATTTCTGACGAGTTTTAATTCTGCTCCTAATCTACTGCTTTAAGGTTTCCTTCCCTCTTCCTTCCTTTCCATCTTTCCACACTTGTCCCCTTCTTCCCTCTTCCCTGTCCTCCTCCCTCCTCCCTTCCTTCCCTCCTTTTCCTTCCCTCTTCTCACCCCTCCTCCCTCCCTCCCTTGTTCCTTGCTGCCTCGCTTCCCTCCTCCCTCCCTTCTTCTTCCCCCTTCTCTCCTCCCATCTTCCCTCCTCCCTTCCGTCCTCAATCTCACACTGCAACAGCACCCTCTGCCCGGCCCTAAGGCCCACAGCACAGGTGCGCTGTGCTCGGGCTTGCAGCACGGGCCCGGCCTAGCAGTATGTGATCCTCCCCGAGAGGTTGGGAGTTGCTCAGGGGCGGGCTCGGGGCCGTCTTAGAGTGTGCGTTACCATGGGCCAGTCATCGTGCTGTGACCCGCACGCACATTTAACCTCACAACAGCTCTATGGGATGGGAACTGCTTTCCTTTTCTGGACCAGAGACCCCAAAGAGGTTACATGAGGTCCCTGGGGTCACCCAGCTGTTAGGGTTCATGCAGGTCTGCTTCTAGCGCCCCAGCTCCTGGAGACGGCACAGGGTGGCTTGCCTGTCAGGGTCTGGCGCCTGTCGGTGCTTGGTGATCGCTCAGTGACCGCAGCACGGACGGCGGTTAGTGCTAACTCCAGGTCTCTGTGAAGCCAGTGGAAGACGAAAGGGGTCCTGAGGACGCCAACAGCCACTGGCCAGCAGCGCCCCACCTCAGACCCTGGGCCAGGGGGCCTCAGAGCCGCTGTCTGCAAGGCTCCCACGCTTTATAGAAATGAGCCACCGAGTAAGGCCGCAGGGCTTACTCAAGTGTCACTCAGAGGCAGAACCATTGGTGTGAAGGACCGCGACGGCACGCTAGCGCGCAGCTCTGTTGGGAAGGCGGATGTTTCCAATTTTAAATAGAGAAATGATATTCATTACTTAGAACAAATATAGCTGAAAAGACTACAATCAATTAAAATGGGGTCTTTATCAAAGAATCGAGTGGGTCCTTTAGTGAGTGGAAAGTTTGGGAGCTATTGGCGTAAACTATAAAGGCATGCAGTGTGCAAGGTTGTACACGGGTCAAGTAGTAACTCAACCGAGCACTCTGCACGTTCCAGAACTTTCCATGCTTTACCTCCCATTCTGTTCCCAGCAAGCCCAGGGTATACCGGTAACCTCTCCAGCTCACAGGGAAGACCACGGGGCTCAGAGAGGTGCAGAAACATGGCTTGCAGCCCAAAGCTAGCAGAGGGCAGAGCTGCGGCTAGATTCTGCCCATCTGACTCCAGAAGCTGCTTTCAGACCCTTGCTCTGTCCTGCTTTTCGGGTCTGAGGTCGTGGATGCACATCCAGCATTTAATTTCCAGGGAGTGGACAGCTTCCTCTCCGCTAAGCGCTTGACAAACATTCTCCTCTATTGAGTATCGACAACCCACAACGACCAGGGCCGGGGAGACCCTGGGAACGTGTGGCACACACACAGGCTCTCTGAGCACCTTGCCGGGCAGATGGCACGGGCTGAACACAGACCACAGGCCTGGAGTCATAGCAAGTCCGTGCGCCGCGGGAGGGCGGCCCCACGACCCGGGAAGGAAGTGTGTGCTGACCGCAGCATCTCCAGCCCAGGGCATGTCAGCCAACACATTAGAAACATTTATTTACCAGACGAGTATGTGTGTTATAGGAGGTGAGATCAGTCAGCAGAAAAAGTGAAGGAAATCTACTCTGGTTACATGTAGCAGCAGAAGAGGGGGTTTGAAGACCGTCCCCAGGCACCTTCGCCACCAGGGGCCTCCCTGGATTTTCCCCCTCAACCCCCCACTTTCCACACCACCTACCCTCCTTTCTTTGCCTTTCCAGGAACAAGATTCTGATTTTCGGGCTGCTGGAGGAGACGGCGCTGGCGGCCTTCCTGTCCTACTGCCCGGGCATGGGCGTGGCCCTCCGCATGTACCCGCTCAAGTGAGTGTGTCCTTCCCAGGCCCTGCTAGGCCCCAGCTTCTGGTCTTCAGACCCAGTTCTCTGTCCCCACCCTGCGGCACCCCCGACACGCTCCTGTTTCTGTTTGGTGCAGGGTCACCTGGTGGTTCTGCGCCTTCCCCTACAGCCTCCTCATCTTCATCTATGATGAGGTCCGGAAGCTCATCCTGAGACGGTACCCTGGGGGTAAGTGCCCCCTCCCCCCAGCACCCCGCCAGTGCTCCCCACTGCTGGCCACCCCCCAGGGCTCCGCACCCAACCCTTCCACATGCGGCTCCTTGCTCCTCTTCCCCATGCCCCCACCCCCGATCCGGGGGCCCCAGGTCCTCGGAGCCCTGACCCTGCCCCTTTCCCACCAACCTGGGACCCCAACACACAGGGGCGCTCAGGCCCCTCCTCCCACCCGAATCATAGGACACAGAATTAGGTGGGCCCAGGTCACCTCGTCCCCCTTCCACATCTTACAGAAACGGAGAGGTGCAGAGGTGAATTTATTGGCTTGGGGTTACAAAGCAAGGAGGAGCAGAGCAGCTTCTAGAACCCAGGCTTCCTGATTCCTAGGCAATGACCAAGTTTGCTTTTGTTTTTTTCCAACAAGCACTGTTGACCCCTTACTGGAAGTTGAAAACCGATGGCCGGCAAGCCAAATATGGCCCCGGGCATATTGCTTGGTTCCGTCCGCCCTTTATTGCGTGGCTGTGTTTTGTAACTGGTCCAATAACTAAAACTTAGGGGCTCTCACATAAAATCCTATTCCTGATTCTGAAAAATCATGAGCCATCAACCCCATACATGTCTCGGCACAACCACCACGGGCGGTTGCCCCTTGAGACAGTCCTGTCACCACCTAGCCCCTGCCTCTCCCCTCGAGCCCACTCTGTGATGCCCGCACTGTGCTAAACACGTCTCTCCTTTCCCCTAACCCGTGGCCCCAGCTCCCCGGCTTCCTCCCCTCCCTCTCACCCTGATTTGCCCTCCAGCCCGCAGAGATGGATCTCTGCCCCCCATGAGCTCACGCCTTGCCCCCATCTCTCCCACAGGCTGGGTGGAGAAGGAGACCTACTACTGAGCTGTCCAAGGAAGACCAGGCTCTGGGCCAGGACGCCTGGAGGTGGTGCGGGGATGGTGATGCAGAGAAGACAGGGTGCTGGGGGAGGGTCGGGGGAGGGACAGAGAGGCCACTTGGCAGGCTCAGCGGGGAGGAGTGGGTGAATAAGCTCAGAGCCATTACCTTGCAGACCCAACTGAGAACAATCGGAGAGACACCACATGCTGGGGTCCTTCCCAGTTCCGGCTGCACCCTGTCCACTTTTTCCGAGGAACTGAGGGTCACCCCAGCACCCACCACCCACTGTCTGCCCCTGCACACCCACCTCCCACTAGAACAGATCAACACCCAAAGGCAGGGACCTGTCTCAACCAGGAGGAAGGAACTGTCTCAGATCACCCACGTCCTTTCATCTCTCCGGCCTTACCCTACTGTCACCCCACCTCTCCTCTGCTTCCTGCCCGACCCTGCCCCTGCTCCCCCTCGAGATCAGACACAGCTCCTCCTGGTGAGTGCCAGGCGTGGGGCCGGAAAGGGAAGCTGCGCAGAAGGCGGCATCCCCAGGCAAGCCCGGATGGGAACGTCTAGAGGCAAGAGGGCAGGGGAGTGGGAGGCCGAGGACTGACACAGCCAAGGGAGCTGGGGAGGAGCGAGCCAAGGACAGGACAAGATGTGTGGTCTCCAGCCCCGGGTCCTGCCTTTCAGAAACTCCTGCCAGTAGGCCAAACTCAAATGTCCGCAGAGCAGGCCAGAGCAGTCCAGGTGCTCCCCTGGGTCCTCCACCCCGGCAGCTTCCACCCCACCGACCCTGCCTTGTGTCGTCCGGGCCATGAGGCCCAGGTGTCACAGAGGCTCCAGTACCCTCAGTCCCTTGCGCCTGGTGACACCCCGCCCTCCAGAACGCTAAGTCCTCCGAAGCCCCGTCTTGTTCCCAGAGGGCAGCGGCCAGTCCGTTCCCTGCCCCCACCACCCCTTCCCCTTTGGGTCCCTCCCGATGAACCTGAGTCATTCCAGGAGCTGCCTGGCCGTCAGCTGGAACTAGGATGGAGGAAGTTTCCGGAACCTTCCTGCTGCCCAGGGACGTCCAGAATCAGCTCGGGTCAGGGGCGTGGTCAGACCCTCTGGGCAGCGAGAGCGCGAACGTGAGGAGGGTTGGTCCTCCCAGGCAGACAAAGGCCCTTCGTGTTAGTGATCAGTTGGTTTCAGGTTCCCTCGGGAGACCCTCGGCCTTCCCTTGCCGGCTCCCTGCCTAGCAGGTTTGCTCTGCAGGCAGCCCGGCCCCTTCCCTAAGCCTGGCCCAGACGGCACTGGGAAAGAGACCCCCGGGTGGGCCCAGCGAGAGTGCCACCGGGGGAAGCCGCAAGACCTAAGACAGAAAGGAAGGAGGCCTGGGAGGGCCCTCCCACCGGCTCTCACCTCCCTCCACTGGTACTTTATCAGAAGGACTTTGAAATGAGTGAGTCGTTGCTTTGGGCTCGGGAAACTAAATGAGAAACCATGTTCCTTCGGGCCGATTAATTTGAGATGTGTTGACTATGGACAAAGCTTATCTTTGCACAATCGAAAAAAAAACGGTATTTGTTTAGCAAATTAGAAGCATTAAACCGCATGGCTAGGGCTGGCACATTTAGTCCTCCTAAACACTTCTGAAGCACTTTAGGAGTATCTACGTAGAGGTAGCGCATGCATGGGCTAATCACCATCGGTTCTCCTGTGTCGGTGAGACACACATTTGCAGGACCTTTACCGGGAGACGTTTTAGAGGGCACTAGTTTGCGGTACTACCTACGGACTTGAATATAATAAAGTTGCATTTCGTTATGAAAAAGAAATCCCTTCCGTAATTCAGATTTCGAGCCTGAACACTTGCCCCCGTCCCGAAATGTGGGATTAAACGCGTGGTGAGCTGTGGTGAGACTCGGCTCCAGGAGGAAGCCGCAAAGTGTGGGAAGGAGATGGGGAGAGGGAGGTGGACGATCTGGGGGGCCGATGTTGTCGTCGCGGGCGGGGGAGAAAGCCAGAGGGGAAGAAGACAGAGTAGAGGCCTCCTTCCTTGAGGCGGAGCCTGCCCTGGAGAGCCACAAAGGTCTGTGCTGAACAGGGAAGGACTGGGGAGTCCATCTGAGCCCAAATCCTTAAGGCCACTTCTGTTTTTTCTGTTCCAGACAGGAATCGGGCCACTCTTAATCAGAGGGGTGGGGGAAGAAGACGGTGGGCTGAGGCCCCCTCCCGCCCCAAGGTCAGGCCCCGACTAAGAGTCTGCAGTGCAAGCGGAGTCCTGTCCTGGGTGCTGGTTAGGGGACGGAGGGAAAAGTAGCTGCGATCCTTGAAACCGCCCTCAGTAGCAGATTCTGGGAGCCTTCGCGGGCAGGTGGGGTGGGATGGGCAGGCGTGTGCTGCACACACGGGGCTGGCTGGGGGCTGTGCCTTCTCCCCGGGGTTCCCAGGAATGGGATCTGGGAAGAGAAGTCAGAAGTCCGTGGCTGGCACCTTTATTTCAGCTCTGAGGGCACAGTGACAGAGACAGGGACGGTGACCATGCCAGATGCTGTGGGAGCTTTAACTGCAGCTCATTCTCTGCCCTAACCCTATCAGGCCCCTGTCGGTATCATCTCATTTAATTCCCCCTCAGGGCCTTTCTTCTTGGTAGTGCCGCTGCCGGGAACACAAGCCCAGCTCCCTCACCCCAGTCAGAGGGCTCCTCCCACAGTCTGTCCTCAGAGAGGCCCGCACAGGCCACCCCAATAAAATCTCACTTCCAGGGGTGCCTGGGAGGCTCAGTCGGTTATGCGTCTGCCTTTGGCTCATGCCATGATCCTGGGGTCCTGGGATCGAGTTCTGCACTGGGCCGCCTGCTCGGCAGGGAGTCTGCTTCTCCCTCTCCCTCTGCTGCTCCCCCTGCTTCCGCTCTCTCGCTCATGCTGTCTCTCAAAGAAAGAAATCAAATCTTTAAAAAATAAAAATAAAAAATGAAGCAAAATCACACTCCCAGCAGCTCGTTCCCCATTCTTGTAAATGCTTAATACCTCAAATTAGAGAGAAAATATATAGAAATAGACATGCAGTTCAAAAATACATAGAGTTGTTTGTACTTTTTCTGTTTGTTTGCCTGACTCCTTCTGCAACGTAAGTTCCAGGCACACAGGGATTTTTTTGTTCTTCTATTCACCGCCTTTATCTTTAATACCTAAAACAATGCCTGATGCACACGGGACAATTAATAAGGATGGGCCGGATGACTGGAAGAACCCCCAGAATCCAGGAGGATGGACACCACTGTTACCTGTAATTCCCAGAGGGGAAAACTTCAGCGTGGAAGGATTATTTATTAATTTTAGTTTGGAGCCCAACACAGGGCTTGAACTCACAACCCCGAGATCAAGAGCCCAAGAAACTGGACACTCAACTGACTGAGCCACCTGGGCACCCCCAGCTTGGAAGGGCTGAATTCTGTTGTCAAAGTTTGCAGGACGCTGTGCTTCCGAATCAGGATCTCACTCGTGGTTCCAGGGCCAGCCTCCTAGCCACACTCACACTCGCTGCAGCCCCAGGGACGGCCAGCCCGCCCACAGGGAGCCTGGTCAGCCCAGTGGTGCAGTGAACTGGGGTTGGGGGGGCTGTGGTTTCGTGGAGGGAGCCAGGAATCTGTGGGTAATGAAGGTTGGAGCCGGAGGGCTGGGCAGACCCAGGTGATTAGAGCCCTGCAAAGGGAGCGGATTGCAACTGGGGGGGAGGGGGTGCTGGTAAGAAAAAAGATACAAAGAAATCCATCAATCTGCTGGAGGGCTTAGCCCAAGGTGGAAGTCCTGCTGGAGGTCAAGGCCAAACCCTGATCCAGGCAGAAATGCTTTCCACGGCCTTTCCTTTTTATCTACGGAATAGGAAACGTGATGACTCACCAGAGACAGATGACAAGCTAAATATTCATAATGCTAAGAATGCAGCAAAAAATAGGAAAAAATGAGTAGATCGCTATCAAAGGAAGACATCTGATACGAAATGAATTCAGAGAAGGAGACAAGCCTTAAGAGACTCTTAATCATAGGAAACAAACTGAGGGTTGCTACAAGGGAGGGGGTTGGGGGATGGGGTAGCTGGGGGACCGGCACTAAGGAGGGCACGTGAGGGAATGAGCACTGAGTGTTTACGCAACCGATGAATCACTGACCTCTACCTCAGAAACTAATAATACGCTGTATGTTAACTAACTGACTTTTTAAAACATGAGTCTTCCAAAAACCCTTAGACCCAGTGAACTCAGTGGAGGATTTTTTTTCCCAAATTCCTCAAAGACATCCTTATATTATTTCAACTGTACTAGAATATAGGGGGGGAAATGATATTGCCCAGCCTATTGTAGGAGACAAATACAGCTTTGATAGAATTTAATGAGATATGTCTATAATGAATGACCAGTACATCCCGGAATGCAAGTACAGTATGTTACATGGAAAACTAACAACTAAGATTTACTAGAAAAAAGTGATTAGTCATTTCCAAAAAATGTTGAGAAAGGGATTGGTAAGATTCAACATCTATTCTGGATTAAAACGTTGGAGGAAAAAGCACATGGGAAGGGCCATGATGCTGAGGAGAGAGGAGGAACACAGCACATCTGGAGAACTAGCACAGCAAACCACGACAGAAGCGCTAGCAACATCTGAAATCCCGAATTAGGAGTTCGTATCCAAATGGTCTAAATACAGGGACAAACCAGAAGAAATAAAAACATATTTCTTTTTTGGTAAAGGAGATGTTAAATACCTAAAAAAATCCGAGGAAGTCGTCCAAAACAATGCAACAACAATGACAAAACCTGGAAGCAATGAGTTCAAATGCACAGGGTAGGAGATACCAGTTCTTTCAAAATCCCACATATCCCTGAAATCAGTGAGATAGAAAACACAGCACCAACAGCTCCATCTACGACAGAACCAAACCCGACCGCACTCAAGATGTCGCGCGCGTGACATGCGGCGCCTACTAAAGAAACCTGAAAACACGAGGAGATCAACGAGACA